TTGTGTTTATTGTTGTCTAATAGCTTGTGGCCTACATTATGATTTGATGGAACAGTCCTAAGCATTTATTTTAAACAGATGTTACTGAGAAGGACAAACAAATACATTAATTTGTTAATTCACTACAGTTTATTATAGTAATTAAAAATAAAACATAGCAATGGTTATAATATAATGGCAAATATAATAATAAATCAGAAGATGAATTTTGGCATCTCCCCACCCGTTCTAGTCCACCCTGGAGCCTGAGCCCCTCTCTTTGCCATGCCACCTCCACCCCTGCTCCCAGCTGCAAACACCCACCTTCCTGCAGGAAAATATCACCCAGTGTTAGCACCCAAATGAAAGAAGCTTCCCAGAAGTTCTTCTCTAGGCAAAGGCAGGAAGGAGGCCAGCTCAGCTCAGAGCCTCTATTCTGGATAATACAGTTGTAGGGCAGAGAATACAGAAAATGTCTTCAGGAGGTAATTCTCTTCTCACTTCCACCACAAAGTTTAGAAGTGTCTTGTAGTTCTTGCAGGCTAATTAGGATAAGGTCTCGAGCCTTTGTCAGCTTTTATTACGTTGCAATATTAAGGGTGAAATAATGGTAAGTTCTTTCATTGGAGAACTTACAAAGCTGCTTAGTGAAACGAGCTTTATGGTTCACTTAGGGGCTAGACAAGGTGGCATAGTCTCCACTGATAGCATATAACAGTCACCACTGTTTTTGTTCATTCTGGAACATTGCAGAGCTCTTTTGTATTCTGCACTGCAGCTCTTAGGGTGGGAGGATGTTGTGAATTATCAAGCTCACAGAACTGGGTTGAACACGAAAAAATGCTTGCAGGGAAATGTTATAAGAGTCTTTATAAGGTGATAACCAAACGTTTTTTCTCTGTTTTTCAACAGATAAACTAGTATTCCCATTTTGTTAGCATTGGTAATACACAACCTATACTTCTTGTATGCTACTACTTCTAAAACATCTGACGTTGCATGCGTATGTCCTTCACGTTTTTTCCTTTGCTGTGGAGAATCACACCAGCTAAATAGCATTACAGCAGCCAGTGGTTCATGGAAGTGTGCTGCATACAGTTTCCTATAGGTAAATGTGAACTCAAAGTCTGCCATGAATAACTACAGAGTTTTTCCTGTATCAACAGATAGCCTTCTGTTACTGACAGAATATCAGTGTTTGTGATGAATGAATTAGCCATCAACTTTCTGTCACCACTGCAGGAAGAATATTTGATCCTGCGTGAAAGAGAAAATAAGAATAGAAAGCCACTCACACATAACAGCAAGAAACTGGTGGGGAATGCTAACACTACAGTACTGACAAGTAAAGACACGTCAAACGTGGTCAGTATCACTTCTTCAGACCTTTCCTAGTCAGGCTGATGGTGCCAGAAAATTAAAGAACCTTTGCTGAAACTTACAGCTCCAGAGGGATCTATTATACAGAAGCAAGTTATCAAGCAAATCTTATTCTCCCTCTTCTTTCTCTGTATGATCTGGCAAAAGATAGAAGAAGCACATAGCTGCAGATGGCACTGATTCTAATTCAGGAAAGAGATAAAGATGACATTCCTCTGCATAGCCTTTATTTTGATGGGAATCATTTCCAGCTTCCTCTGCCTCAGCTCAAGTTTTAAAAAAATAAATCCATGTGGAGCATAGGGTTTCCAGGGAGGCATGAGCAATCCAGTGTTGGCAGACAGAACTGCGGGGACACCAAATATGGTGCTCTAGAACAATGATTCACTCTGAAGAAAATCACAAGTTATTTAAAAAAAATAATAATTAAAAAATAATAATACAAATTTGCTGTGTTTGCTTGGTCTTTTCACTTTGGATCCCTTCCTGTCTCATTTATGGAATACTCATCTACGCAAGAGTTGCCAGATGTACTGAAAGGTAAACCTGGCTTCATGTACCATTTGCCATCGAGGAGGTATGCACGCAGTTTCTTCTGGCTCCACCTGTCACCATGGACTCATTCTTTCCAGCTGGTGGTGATATATCACTTCTTCCCTCTGGGGTAGATCATCCCTCAATCCTACTGTGTACACAGGGAGCTTTCCCTGCAATCCTCTGACCCAAATTCCATTTCACCAATCTCCCCAATCTCTTTTTCCCTGTTCTTTGACCATGCTGCTGGCAGGAACGGCTATACAGGTAGTTGGCTGCAGTGCAATTAAATTATTTTTGTCCTCATCTTTTTCTATGTAATGAGAAGCTGTGAGCCAACTCTGGATCCAGGACTAGCCTGCCAGCCTTATGCTCTGTCTATCAGCTGCAAGTACAGCTGATAGGAGTTAGCTGCATTTGACAATGGGATTTGAGAGACAGCAAGTTAGCTCCTGAGAGACTGACATCCCCTAAAGGTGGTGTTAATATTAATGGATAGTTTCTAAAAACTGCTACAATTAAAGTGGTAGTAAATACTTTTCAATGGGACCAGAACATAGGTTATTTTTAAAAAACTGGGGCAAAACTACTTAACATTGTAGCAATTACAGACTACCTCTGTGATCTAAAACCAAAGCCACCTCAGAATAGAAGGATTATGGTTTGAATGGCTTCTCCCACATGCCTCCTTGTTTCCCTCACCACAATTTTGCAATTAATTTGCATTCATCCTCCAGTGAGTTGAGAAAGCAACAGGTAGAACAAATTTGTTACCTGAGGTTACTCACTTCCACCTAAGTACCACACTCAGGTAAGTCCCCAAGGCTCCTGGCCGTCAACAGGCACAAATGAGAAAAGCCCAAGCCAGTCAGTCAGTTGTAAGTGCTTCTGGAGAATAGGTAAGAGCCACATTTCCACTACGATTTTAGAACCTGCACCATACCCATTGTACAGTCTAGAAGATATCTCTAATTACTTTTCTAAGAAAGATATTTTTTGAGAACTTCCCTCTTCAATCAGACCACAATGCTTACAATGGTGGTAAAAAAAATCAGAAAATTTTGGAGAGACCTAAGGGAAACCCTGGCTGCATTGCTGCTAACTATGTTTGCTTGAGGGAAGAGGCTGGTGAGCTGTGATGAGAGAACTGCCAGAGAGGAATGTAATCAGGCATTAAGTTCTGTGTAATGCAGCTCCAAACATTTGAAGTTATTTGCTTCTTTCCTACAGGATTCATGTTTGATGCTTTTATAGGCAAAGAGTGGTTTGATGATAAATCAGATTATATATTGCTTTATGTCTTTTTCTAATAAAAAATTTAAACCATGTATATAAAAATGATGTTGTAAATTTCTCAATGTGAAAAATAACTTCATTCTTCTCCTTTCTCTTACCGACAGACCGAAGTCTATCATTTATAAGCAGTCTTCATGAAGCAAACATACCCCAATAATGATTAACAGAACAAAAATCTCTTCATATAGGTGAATCGCTGTACTATGGATCATGGCAGGGATTTGTTACAAGAGCGCTTAGGATGAATAAAACCATGTTTTCAAATGCCAGTAAAATCTCAGCAGCAGTAAACCCATCTATTAAGTACCCGTGAGGACAAGTTCAGCCTATTTTGTACAAATTAAAATGTTCTTCTTTGTTTAACCTACATTAGCTTTTCAGAGAAAAATAATCCTCATATTTCATAGTATAGTTAAACAAGAGAAAATCCATTTCATACAACTTTTTGATCTTCTCAATTTGTTCTGAATTCAACTGTCTGAGGTATTCCAAGGTGATATCACCATTAGTTCGTTTCTCTGAGCCATACCTCTTCAGGCTGGGGTACTGCAGGCTCTCTGGTGCACCAATTGCCTTCAGAACATGCTCAGAATCTAACCCAAGAGTTTCATACTTGCCCAGAATATCATAGTGAATGTTGCAAGGATCACAGAGAAGAAACATTGGTTTCCAGTGAATGTCAAGAGCATTCATTGGTTTTGCTATAATAAAGCTGACAAACTCCTGGAAACTCACTTTTTCAGAAGAATTTTTGTTTTTCCTGAACATTGCCCTAATCTCATTAGCAACAGTGGTACTGTAGTATGGCTCAGAGTGCAGAAGCTTGTCTCTGTAAGCTGAAACCAGCCGTTCCAGGGGATGTCTGGTGAACATCACTTTGGTGTAATTGCTCAGAAATTCCTCTTGTATAGGGGGAGGGTAAGCAGCCATCCTTTTGATCAGTGAGGTCTGGTGGATGTGGTCATGCTCAATTTCAGAAGCTTCCATTTCCAAGCCTGCTTGGAGAATGAAAATGGTTCTCTTCCAGTTGGAGCAGCCTACCTTGGGCACCTCACAGTAGGTAAGTTTATGTTTGTGCTCCACAAAGAGCTGGTTTGCTACAAGAGAATCCAATTTGCTTCTTGGTTTAAGAAGGTTGTTCTTCTGGCAGACAGAGGCCAGTGTGTTTTTACGATCATTTTGAATTGCCAGCCAATCTTCAGTGGGAACATGAAAAGAATCTGCAACCAAGGAAGAAATTTAAACTGTTTGTGTGAAATAAGACTTAGATAATTCTCTTTCTCTTTGTGATGACCAAAGAACTCAAACTATCTCCCTGCATGCCAAAACAAGTAAGTATTTTTTGTTTCCTGTCTCCTGACTACTGCAGCAAAAATGCAACGAACTGTCCTGCTTAGTGAAAAGTTCTTTAAAATGAAAACTGTCAACATTAGCAATATTACTCTCAGAATGATGGATGTTCAAACACTTGTAATATCAAATGCTTTTTGTAATACTCTTCTCCTAGTACATTACTAAGACAGCCACCACAGTGACAAAGCCTTTGATATTTTAACAGTTTTTCTTACCTGGGCATCACAGCCACTTTCTAACACATTTAAGAAGGGTGGAACTGGTTCTAGAAATGGTTAAGTTCATAAATTCTTTACTTACCCATTAGATTTTTTTGTTTCAGACTGAAAAATCCAAAAATAATTATCCCAAAAATAAAATTTGGGAGAAGAAAAAATAATGCCTTCTGGTTCATATTCTTTTCAGATGAAGGAGGGCGATGTAATCTCTAAACTGGAAATCTGCCTTTCTGTCAACAAGGAAATAAAATACATATTTTGTACGACATATAAAAAAGATGATGTGATATTTTCATACACAATTTAAGACAGCAGAAGGACCTTTATGCCCTACTAAGCATTCTCTAAAGAAAAAGACTCATGTTTACACAGTCAAACCTAATAAACAAATAGCATGACCATTTAAAAGTATTAAAAAGAATTCCTCCTTTCTCAAAACAATGGACTGTGCATGAGCAAGTACTCCTCATTTCTCATGATTTAAAGCAGGTGTTCCCATTAACTAAACTCATCTACCCCTTTACACTGTGCAAAAGTAATAAAATAATTTAGAATTAGAAATGTTATTTTTTTTTTAAATCTTGCTTTTTAAGAGTCTGGGAGTACAGTTTTCTGGAACCTGCAACAGGCCTAACTGCAAATCTAAGGATGAGAGTCTTCCTCTCCGCTGAAGCTTCCAATGCATAAAAATAAATCAATATTCAGTGCAGCAGAAACTCTTCTACATTCCAGCAGAGAATTCTAACTACTAACAATTGATTAATTCTCTCATTCTCTCTCTCCTAAAGAGACTGCAGAGTATGCATGTGCTGCTGTTGCTGCTGCAGCAGAAGTCCCCCAAAATGGTGCATCATGGCAGGAAGTATGTAGAAGGAGGGAAGGCCAATGCAGTGCAACACTCAAGGTATCTCCTCTACTCTACTCATTTGTTACGTCCCCATGTACTTCCTGGAGATAGAGCTCTCTAAATTTCTCCATGCAGTCTTACTCTGTTGCTCCCTTACAAATCTCTTCATCAGCATGTTTTTAATTACTTTTTATTCGAAATAGCGAAAATAAGTGCAAAACCATAACTGCTTGCAAACTTGACTTTTTATTTCTGTCCTATAAAGAGTGCATCATAAAAAAGTCAAGTAACATTGTCGTCTTTTTTTTTTTCTTTTGATTTTTGATTTTTTTTTTAACCTTTAAGCTGCTGGCAATAAAAAAATAATCCTCACCTGATTTCTTGAGGCTACGACTCCAGGTTTTTCTGTTTTACAAAGATGCAACAGGACCACTATGGAAGTTATTTGGGGTCCCCCCTGCAGTGTTGATGTACATAAACCCCAGCTGCCAAAATGGAAATGGGTTTCTTGTGTGCTCTGAGACAGCAGTAGGCTCATCTACTAGTAATAGTAGGTTATTATAGCACTGAAAATGCACTTGCACATAGAGACACTTTCAGGGCTGAGGGGTGATTATTGTATCCCACATCAATATCAGGATTATCTTCAGACTCATACACTTAGCAGCATTACTAATCATTAATTCTCTCTTTGTGTAAGCATGACCTTAGAAATGAAGAAGGATAACTACTCAGTATCTCTAACCTGTATACATCAACATGAACAAATCTGCAGCTGCATATTTTAACTATATCCTTGTGTCTACATTAAACTGTTACAATATTCATTCAAATGAACACAGTATTTTTACGCACTATGGCATTTCGCCAATATTTTTGCATTTTCTTATTTGCAAAAGACCATTGTGAAGACTACAAGAAAATGTAGGTGTTGATCTTTTCCTTTAACTTTTTCTTCACTGTATGTCAATTCTCCCTTTACCATGTGATCTACTGGTTTCTTATAAATCAAGCACTGTTTTCAAAGCCTGCTGAAGTCAGTCAGATTGGTCATTGATCTTATCAGGTCCAAGACAAAGTGATTTTTTTTTTTCCCAGAAGTGGTGTAGATATGGAAGACCACATCTACAATTTCACACCATGTAGCAACTAAAATAAATTAGACTAAATAATTCTGTACAAGGAACCCTTCTTAGAGTATGCTTAGGAGAAAAAGGTTGGGTTTTAGTTACCCGATATACTGTCACCTCAGGGTAGTTGTTATCATACTTGTCTCAGGAATCAGAAATTTTACCATATTTAGATATTTTTATCACGTATAGATGTTAAACAACAGTTACAGAATATAGGATCTGCCAGAAGGCACATTTTGTGTTGAAACATGTCAGTGAGTTACCAAAGGCAAATGGGAGAGAGAGACCTCCTTGAGGCAAGAAGCTCATCAAACCCAGTAGACAACTCTACTGGAAGCAAAAGAATCCTTATTCAGGAGAATGGCCACACAATAAGGATGAATAGAATGAGCTCAAAAGTGACAGACTAAATCTGTCTGGACCACTTGGAAATCTTCAAAATGCAGACTAGCTGTAATAGCTATCATGTTCCATGAAGAAGTGAGTGAGGTCAATGTGACAATTCAGAGAAGCTGCTACCTGAAGGTGAAGTCCGAAGGCTACTTCTCAAAGTGTTTTCTGATGGAAGATCCCAGTATGGGGTTCTGTGTAACACAAGGTCTTCAATGATGTAAAACATGTAAGGAAAAACCTGAGACATAACAAGGAAAGAAAATTATGAGAACCATTTTGTCAGAAGAAGGATAAATAACCTGGAAATTAAAAAGGAAAACAAAACAAAACAAAACAAAACAAACAAACAAACAAAAACCTTTGTAATGCATTCACAGTGTCAGTAGATCTGATGAACTTTTTCTCCAATTACTTCAATTAACATCTTTTACATTTGTAGTTGTAAAAGGAAATGAATGAATACTTTCGTTTGCATTTTACCTCATCCTGCCTTGAATTAAGTGTAAATGGGTACTTAGGCAAGTCCCCATTACAAGGCAGTCCGCAGCCAAGGTGTGGTGAATATATCAACACAATATCTTTTAACAAATACCCTAGTTTTGGTGAACCCAAAGGGTAGCAGGATGGGCCAGCAAAGGCAAGGCAGAAAGATAGTACCATAGGACTTGAAAAAAAGGTAGAAATGTCCTCTAACTAAATATTAACAACAAGAAGTCAGAGATCTAAATGCCTCTTTGAGCTAACATATCACAGATGAGATGAGAATATAGTTAAAAAAAATACAGGGCATTAACCTGTTTTGACCTTGTTACATGCTGTAGTGTTTTTTGGTTTTTTGTTTTGTTTTGTTTTTAATGAAAAGTATAACATTTTATATATAGATAATAGATAGAAAATTTATAACAGCCCTACACTGCACAGTTGGTTTTTGATGTTCTTCAGATCACATCATTGTAAGTCACCATACATAGCTAGCTACTGCTTACTGTTTTGAGCTCTGCATGTCTTACTGGAGTCTGCAGATTTCATTAGGATTTTAATTATTATTTTTTTCTTGGACATTAATAAACTGTAAACAAGGTAGTAAGGGGAATGATCCTCAGAACCATTTAATGTAAAACCATTTCAGAAGCATTTTATCAGGTTATGAGATCGAGGCCTGTCAGTTAACCAGAATTTAATTCCTTCCACACACATCCAGCTAACTTATCACTTTGTAGCTTAGCCAAAACATGCTGCTATGTCAACTGCTTTATACAATTCTAAGTCTACTATAACAATTTCATCACCTTAAACAACCAAAATAAACAAAAATAAGTCAGTTTGCACAACACAAAGTCTTTATGAGAGCACAACCAGAGCAATTGTTCAAGCAAAGAGTGGTAGCATATGGGGAACAGATTACTGTAGTTACAGTGTTAATCATGTCATGTGCAGGTAGGACAAGAAAAAGGCCTTAAGCCTATAATCATATGCATACTTGACAGAGCATATCGCATACAGGTTGAAGTTCTTCCTCCTGCCTGGCAGGCTTATTCCTAGGTACAGACACTGAAGGAGTAGATTGTTGCCTGTAACAGGTATCAATGATATCCTGTTTCGTCCTTGTACTGTTAAAACTGATTTATAATAGCATTCCCTAATTCTTCTCCTGGAACTGTGGAACCATTTTAATTGAAAAATCTGCAGTTTTGAAAGTTGAAGGGTTTTTTCAGTCTTAATAAAACAAAACAAAACAAAAAAACAGTCTGGAAAACAGCACTGTGGTACTTTTACAAACAATTAGAAGTCCTATAATTGGAAATACTGCATAACATTAAGTCAACATGTAAGGCACCAATTACCCAAGTATAGAAATACACCCATGCAAATATTTGTGTGTGTGCATGTATATTTATATGTGTGCATTTTTAAACTATATGTATGTTTATATGTATATATATACACACATATATACATATAGCTCAGGAATCCATTAATATCAGTTATACTGGCGTATTATTTGCTCCAAGTAAACCAACTGAGTAGGTTGATAAGTCTCCTGGTGATAAACTTACAAAGGTGTGTCTCAAGACACCTTTTTGGCAAAGGCAGACCTTGGTTACAGCTGAGCATATGTGTGAGTGTCTGCACTCTACCCAATGCAATGATAAGTTGGACTTTACAGATTAAAAGAATGAAATGACAACAATACTTACGTGTGTTCCTGATACATTTGAAGCCAGAGGTGAAAAAGGTACCAGTAAGGCAGCCCTGTGGAAGGCAGGGAAAATCTCTGTAAACAGATAACATTCTCAGTAGCTGGGCCACATTCTCTACTTAAACTCTGTTAATCCCTTCAAAAAGACAACTGTAAATATATGCATACCAATACGTATGTGGGTACATAGCAGGTAAGGAGGGGATGACGTATAGAAAGCCCCTGAACAGCCAATATAAAAAATGAACAGGAAAAACAAGTTCTGAGCATACTGTTTTAACATGGTGAAACGCCACTTGCTTACCCAAATTCACAGGCTCCCCATTCCCATCGAACTCATGGATGGACAGGAAGGAAGGAGAGGCCAGCAACTGGAGTCTCAGCAAGTAGGCTTTCCTGCTCCATGAAGAGGAAAATAATTAGTGGATTAGAAACTTTCAGCGGGCTGCAGATAGTCAAGGGCTCATTGCATGAAGATCAACATCATCTGGGTCATTTTGCTGACAAGAGTCGGGGTCTGGCATCATCTCACTTGCAGCAGCAGCAATGGCTGAAAGTTGTTACAATCCTAGAATATCCCAAATTGGAAGGGGCCTACAAAGGAGCACCGAGTCCAATTCCTGGCTCCATACAGGACCACCCTCAAATCAAAACATTTATGAAAGTGTTGTACAAACACTTCTTAAACTCCAGCAGGCTGGATGCCATGACCACATCCCTTGGGGAGCCTGTTCCAGTGCCCAACCACCCCGTCGCGGTCAAGAACCTTTCCCTAACCCCCAGCTTGACCCTCCCCTGTCCCAGCTCCATGCCATTCCCTCAGGTCCTGTCACTGTCCCCAGAGAGCAGAGCTCAGCGCCTGCCCCTCCGCTCCCCTGGTGAGGGAGCTGCAGGCCGCCATGAGGCCTCCCCTCAGCCTGCTCTGCTCTGGGCTGAGCAAACCAAGTGACATACATTATCCCCTCCACACCCTTTGCCATCTTTATTGCTCTCCTTTGGACAATCTCTAATAGATTTAGGCTTTTCTTATTGTGACACATGAAACTTTACACAGCACTCAAGTTGAGGCTCTACCAGCACAGATCAGAGTGGGATGATCCCTTCCCCTGACCAGCTAGCAAAGCTGCATGCTCTTTCTGCACCCCAGGATACTGTTGGCCCTTTTGGCAACCAGGACACACTTCTGACTCATATTCAACTTGCCATTGACCAGAAACCCCAGATCCCTTTCCATGGGGCTGCTTTCTAGCCTCTTGTCTCCCAGTCTGTAGGCATATTCATGAATTGCACCATCTCTTGTGCAGAAGCCAGCATTTGTTTGTGTTACGTGT